TCCTTTTTTTGGTTTAACCAATTTTCTATATTAAGGATCCTAAAAGGTAACCCCCAAAAGGAACTACAATGGAGACTATGGGTACTGCAGCGCTTAGGCTTTGCAGAGCTTCCATCTCGTTTGGTTACCGCTGTGCTGCACGGACCATCACTGGGCTTCTCGCTACAGAGTAGCAAGAGTCTTGGGCAGTAACGCGTGGCGGAGCCTTAGATGTGGCGTGTTTTGGGTTGTGCGTTTCGTTTGGGACCCTAAGGACCAAGATCTTCGACATCAAGCTGCTTTCCTGCGCGGAGAAGAGCTTTGAAATGTTACAGAAAGACCGAAATCCATGTTTTTGAACTGCCTATCGTCTCAACGGTTCCAAGCTCCGGTTTACGCCCTGAAGTCGAACTCCTCATCCCTTGCATTTCTTACGCCCTGGGCAGGAAACGTCTGTACAGTACAACATAATCATAGTACAGATCCATGATTCGCAAGCAACCTCGCGGTTTATGAGCCTTGTTACCGGGGGGGGGTCCATATATGATCATCACCATTCGAGGTAAGGGAAGTTTATAGTCAAGCGCCAAACCCCAAACTCCTCTTCTTAATCAGGGGTCTATACTTCAGAGAGGGGTCTATGCTAAGCTGCACTGCTGGTCTGTGAGGCAGATGGCCGTAGAAGCACTCATCGAAGACAAGGCGCTTCTTGTCTCCATGTTCCAGGACTCAGTGTGGGGTTTAGGAGTTTAGGGTTTAGGGTTCAGAAATAGGGCTCGGGTTGTATAGGGACTTGGTTCAGGGTGTACGTGGACCACAGAAATCTAGTGAAATCCACCGTTCCTTTTTGAGGGTTCCTTAAGATGATTTCCTCGTACCAGTCCTTAACAAGGTTACGTTATTTGGGATTAGTTAGGAGCACCCCTACCGCCGCCCCTCTCTCCTTCTCGTCTTCCCTTTGTAGGTAAATTACCTTTAACCTCGTTAGTCGCTGGCAGGACATCTCGCAGAAGGAGTTCACCTTTGTGCTTCCGGGCTGACCTTCAGCCATACCGGAAGCACCCAAATCTGCATGTCTAACAACATGCACAATTGCATAAGGAACTTACGACAAGAATCCCCAAAGTAGAACTCGAGGATTCCATGGCCCAGGTTAGTTTTGAGAAGAGTTCAAGGCCTTCCAGGGCGAGGAGGAGCGCTATGGGGGTGCAGTGTTTAGGGTCAGGGCTTTGGAGTGCGAGGCCTTGGTTTTTTGGGAGCTGGGGCTCTCAGCCTGCAAATTTTCAAGGCCGTGCGCGTTTCACATGTTTCATGAAGACTTCGACAGTGATGGCAATGCTCAGGATGTGAAATACAGCATCCCCAGAATCGGGTTTGGGGATTTAGGGATTGATTGAACCAGAATCTTAGGGCGGAGAAGTATAACGAAGGCACAGCTGCAGCTCGAAACTTTCTCACTCTTCCCAGGCTACGTGTTGCAGCTGTGATGGGCTTCATTCTTGGTCTTGTGCAGATGGGCGTGTGGAGTGTCGTGGCTACAATGCAGGGCATATGGGGTTTCCGAAAATAAGGGAGCCTGATATAGTACCCCAAATAGTAGGATCCCTATTATAAGGACCGCAAAATAAGGTGCCCCTTGTCTGCGGAAACTCCCATATAGAAAGTTTGTGCTTCAGAGTTTCAGTGTTCGATGTGCTTTTGACGTTGCTTTCCTAGATGTTGGAGTCCAGTATACTGGGTTTCGAAGCGCCTTTTTTTTGGTGCCTTTCCTTTCTGAGTCTCCCGTGGAGGGATATCGAAGCAGCTCACGGGCTTTTGGGGTATTCTGGCACTCCAAAACTCTACGATGTTGAAGGGTAGAAGGTTGGGATTTTGGTGAAACCAAGCCCTTTGTGCGTATGCAGCACTGAAATGCTGACATTAATGCCCAGCCTCCCACCGGCCAGCGCTGTTACATTGTTTACAGTTGCAACCCGACATGCGTCGTTCTACTGAGATCTCCCAAAAAAGGTTCGAACATACTGTCGCTCCGGAATTTTGGCTAAAACAACGGACTCATTTGGCAGCACGTATGGGCTCCCCACGAGACATGGACCTTAACTTGTACATGCGACTGTTGCGTCGAGGGAAGACTCTGGTTTCGCCGGTTGCTGTTCACACTTCTGACTCCAACTCTGCTTCAAGGCATCTTGAAAGTATTATTGCCCTAAGGGTCCATGTGCCCATATAGTATAATATACTTTGGCCTTAATGTAGCCCCTATATAGGTAAATTGGGGCCAAAGTATATACTACTTGGGTACATGGACCCTTAGGGTTAGGCTACAGGACCTGCTTGCAGTCAGGATGGCCGGAAGGGGAACTTCAGTCTCTAGACACTCGCACTGTCTTTTTACATAGTAGAGCGTATTATGTCGCATACGCACCCAAGACTCTGAGAGCCCAACGTTGTTTCAACATCCCAATCCGAAGGATCCGGTATCGGAACTCCCGAGGATACATCCATGTTTGGTGGAGCCTCCCCGTCACTGGGCTTGTCATCGGCTACTTCACCAACTGGCTGGCCATCACGATGCCCCTGCGGCTGAGAATTGTGTGGCATAACCCCTAAAACAGTAGTTTTTTTGATCCCAAGTAGAGTTATGAACCCCAGCTGCTGGGTTTATAGAATTAAACTGTACCCTGGTTTATGGACTTGTAAAGTTTACTACACCCAGTCTAGGTCTAGGTGGTGAGGCTCTCAACATACTGTAGGGGGCCTACTTAAGTACCAATACTATTTTGAGCGATCCTTATCATAGGTATAGTATAATGTACCCAAAACCCGATTCTGATTTTTAAGGCACCCAAATTACACGAAGAAGATGTTGACCTTATCCTCGCACTGCCTTGCCCGGGCCCTTGAGCCAGTACACCGTATGAGCATGGCATTCTTCATATGCTTAAGCCCCGATCCTCCCAGCCCCAAGCCCCAAAGTCGCGATAAGTCCCAAAACACCAGTCTAAATCGCACAGTCGAAAACACGAAAACGGAGAATGCACGACGAAGAGCACACAGGATCTTCCGGCCAGTGCAGCCGCACATCGTCTGCTGCGGTTATGTGAACTGCCAGGGGGTGTTCCTCAAGCGACAGCAGGAGGCGCCGGGGCTGACGGTCCACAGTTAGAAACTACATGTATTCCGGGCCTGGGCAGAAGCAAACTTGATGTTACGAGTTGCAAGAGCCCCATGCCCATAATGGTCGTCGTCGTCCTCATCAGCAGCAGACAATTAGTCGTATATGGCGCATATCATCACAGCAGAGTTAAATTGCCTATTCCGTCGCAGAGTGCTGAAGAGGTAGGGATTCTGTAGGGAGGGCGGGGGCAGGGTTCAGGATGTACATGCATTCTGAACGCATAAACCATACACCGTGAGTGCTGACCCGCAGCCGCCGGGGGTGAAGGTTTCCAGGGAGCTGGCCACAATGATCTCAACGAAGCTGATCCATGCGGAGAGGAGCCTTTGGCAGTGTTCTCCGGGAAGGAACTTGGAGGTTCGTGGATAGCTATAATTATAAGTGGCGTTAGAAGTAGGATGACTCTAATTAGAACCCATATTAGGGGACTTGCAACCCCACTTATAACTACCAATGGCCCTCCAAGAGGATACAGGGAACATGATGTAGATCAAGCTGGCGTCCACAACAGCCTTCCAGAATCGTGGGCTCAGAGTTCGAGGGTCTGCTCTTCCATACTCAGTTCCATACCCGAAGCCTATAGCCAAGCATCAAACAAAAGAGACGATAAGGCTGTCCAGTGTCTGCAAGCTATGCGGATGCTACTATGGGGTTGATAAAATTAGACCTCAGGTTCATGATCATCAATCACAGGCCACTGTAGGCTTCTCGAATGGAGTTCCTTTGAGGGTATTGCAAGAGTTCCTGGCGCCCTAAATCCTAAAACCCTAAACCCTAAATCCTAAAACCCCAAAAACCCTAAACATCCCTAAACCCTAAACCCTAAAACCCTAAAACCCCTAAACCCTAAAACCCTAAAGCCCTAACTCCTAAAACCCTAAAACCCTAAACCCTAAAACCCTAAAATCCTAAAACCCTAAAACCTAAAACCCTAAAGCCTAAAACCCTAAACCCTAAATCCTATAAACCTTAAATCCAAGCATGATCGCCTTTCCGCCCGAGGATTCTCTCCTACGTGGTAAAGTCTGAAGGCTCCAGTTTGGCGAGCTTTCTGGTTTTCGGGTTTCGGGGTTTAGGGTTTAGGATTTAGGGCTTAGGATTTAGGGTTTAGGGTTTAGGATTTAGGGGTTTAGGGTTTTTTCAAATCTAGTGAAGTTCAGGACGTTTAGCGTTTAGGATTTAGGGGTTTAGGCTTTAGGGGTTTAGGGGTTTCCGGGTTTCGGGGTCGTGCAGGGGTCTGAAATGTCATTTTGGGGAGCAGGGGGGGTGTCGCGATCAGTTCTTCTAGGTCCTGCAGAAGAAGTTGAACAGCAGAACTCAAAAACAGTTAGGGTCTCTGGGTATACATGATGTATATAATATATGCTTGCTGTGCGACGCACGATATGTGTTGCTAAACCCTGCCGACGTGCACCATTGACACAACACTGGCTTCGTGCTTGAACCTGAAAATTACCCATTGTCTCCATTGTAGTTCCTTTTTGGGGTTACCTTTTAGGATCCTTAATATAGAATTGGTTAAACCCAAAAAAGGAACTACAATGGAGACTATAGAAATTCTTTGTATCTGTCCTTTCGCAACGATCCTGGCCCCCCCGCAGATCCTAAACCCTCTGAGCTCCCCACATAGCCCGAGTGTTCTCAGACTTCCCAACTGAAGCTGCCAGTTTTGTGTCAAAAGGTCAGGGTTAGTTGTGCAAGTAGACTGAAGCTGCGTAGAAGCTCCATGCTGTCCAATTCGAAGTAGGGTGTAGATGAGGGGTATTCAATACCAGCCCATTTCGTAGTCGGAATCATGCAAAAACCCTGCATTCGCATGTAGACTTCCCGGGCTGTGTGGTGCATACGCAAAGTTCAAGCCGGAGGTTTCCAGCAAGTGCTCGACATCTACCAGACGCCGCGCGGCTGCACTTCCCTAACCACCTACAATACAACCACAGAGCTACGTCCTGAAACTGCGCCCTGGATCCTTGGAAGCTTGATCCAAAAGCCCTTCCCCTAAACCCTAACCCCTAAACCCTAAACCCTAAACCCCCTTTTAGGCACTGAGCCCTCTGCCAAGTTCAGACCCAAAGATGTTGAGTGCCTGCCCAGGCACATGGACCATGCAGTCGACCAGGCCTGATGATTCAGGCTTTGGGATCCAAGGTTCATAGCTTTCAGGGTTTAGGGGTTTAGGGCTTTGGGTTTAGGGCTTAGGGTTTAGGGGTTCATAGCTTTCAGGGTTGAGGGTTCTAGGCTCCAACGGCAGCTTGAGACAAGGCATAGAACCTGCTCTGCATGCAGGAAGTGCTATATCGACACCCTGTCTACGCCGTGCCACCTAGTCACATGCAAAGCCTAAGCACTCCCAAAAAAAATCGACACCGTCATCCCAAGTTACGATCCTAGCATCAAGCCCTCCCGAAGCCTAGCTACGAGGGCCTCGGGCCATCTTACACACTTAACAGAGACCCTGAACCCAAGCCTTGGTCTGAACCTTATACACCCCAAAACTCTAAACCCTAAACCCTAAACCTAAGCCCTAAACCCTAAACCCTGAACCCCAAAACTCTAAACCCTGAACCCTAAACCCTAAACCCTAAACCCTATAGTCTAAGACACAGCTTAAACTACCCCGGTAGCCCGGAACCCTGATGATCCCAGAAAACCAACCGGAAACTTAACTTAGGAGGTCCAGAGCTATGTAAGCTCCCGAAAACCCTGGGCTCGATCTCCTAAACTCAATGCAAAACGAAACCCAAGCAGCCCAAGCATGCATGTACTTTTATATGGGCTTGCTCAAGGAGCGGCCTCTCGAAATCGATCCCAACCTAGCGAGATTTTTTTCAGCTGCCATTTTGGGGGGGATCCTACAGCCGAAACCCTAAGCCCCAAGCCCTAAATTCTAAACCCTGAACCCTATAAATCCTAAACCCTAAACCCTATAAATCCTAAACCCCAAACCCTATAAACCCTAAACCCTAAACCCTTTAAATCCTAAACCCTAAACCCCTAAGATTTGGAGCCCGGGACTTTCGGAGGTCCTGGGCCGCACCTCGCGCGTGCTCCCCGCCTTCGTCGGCAGGGACGCCGTGCGCGGCATTAAGGCGCAGCGTAGGGTTAATAGGGTTTGGGGTTTAGGGTTTAGGGTTTGGGGTTTAGGGTTTGGGGTTTAGGGTTTGGGGTTTAGGGTTTAGGGTTTGGGGTTTAGGGTTTAGGGCTGGGCTCCAAACAGCCAGGGTTTAGGGTTTTAAGCCTTGAAGTGGGAGTGCCCATTAGGGAGGAAAAGAACCCTAAAGGTGATTTAACAAGTTTAAGGTTCAAAGACCATATAGGGATCCACAGGATAAGGGTATTGGGCCCCTACTGTTGAGGCTCATTGGGTCCTGAGGGCTAGGTGTTTCCCAGTGTTGTAACAAGTTGTAACGCGTGCAGGGCGTAGACTTCAGACCCACTTGGAGGTGCATTGGTGGTTGTGAGTGGGGTTATATTATAAGTCCCCTAATATGTATAGCTACCCTACTTAGACTTATAACCCCATTTATAACTACCCATGAACCTCCAAGCAGGGGGAGGCACTGGCTCGGGCTTGAATCGAATGTGCGAGTACCCTCTCCCTGAAAGTGCTCCATCTCCACCTGGCACAGTTCATCAGCCGTCAAGCCGAGCATCAAAAGCAGATACCTACACTACTCAAAGGCCCCTAAGTAGTTCCTTTTGGGGATTACCTTATAGGATTCTAAATATAAACCATAAAAACGAACTACTTAGGGGCCTATGGGTAAGGCCCCGAAACGCGCCGGAAACTCCATAGATGCCCTAAACCACAAAGCCCTGCAAGCCTTTACCTACCATAGTAATAGTTCGACCCTTGACCAGCCGGGGCCCACCTAAACCCTAAACCCCACCACAAGGCCCCGGGTGCCCCTGATGTGGCCAGGAGGAGGTGGCGCAGTTCACCCTTGAGGCGCCGGGCGGAATTTCGTACCCTACATGGTTCAGAGTCTAGGGGTGTAGGGTTTAGGGTTTACGGGGGTTTCCAAAAATAAGGGGGTACCTTACTTTGGGGGGTCCTTGTAAGAAGGATCCTAC